ATTTTGTCCCTTAACTCAGGGCCCTGCAGGAGTTTCCTTACTCCCTGCAGCAGAGGAGCCAACTTTCTAATGTGCTGGGGGGGTGCTCGACCCCTGGCTCTGCCCCCACTCCATCCCTTCCCACCTCCACTCCACCCCTTCCCTTCCGCCCCCTCCCCTGAGCCCACCCCACCCCTGCATGCCAGGGAACAGCTTATTGCAGCAGACGGGAGGAACTGGGAGGGAGAGGTGCTGATCGGCAGGTGCTCAGCACCCACCATTTTTTCCTGGGGGTACTCCAGCCCCAGAGCACCCATGGAGTCAACACCTATGCCCTATAGTGCCTTGCCCCCAACCTCTCCACAGGGCTCCTGACAGCCGTGACCAAGCAGGCTTGTTTTCCAGCTGCACCTGGCCAGAAGGTTGTGAATGTGTCTTTCATAGACTCATAGAATACCAGAGTTAGAAGGGACCTCAGGAGGTCATCTAGTCCAACCCCCTGCTCAAAGCAGGGCCAATTCCCAGACAGATTTTTGCCCCCGATCCCTAAATGGCCCCCTCAGGGATTGAACTCACAACCCTGGGTTTAGCAGGCCAATGCTCAAACCACTGAGCTAGCCCTCCCCCCTCCCCCCTCCACAGGGGCTGTTAGTTGATCTGCCTCTGTCACCTCGAGGCTGGGCCCTGCAATGTGTTCTTGATGGCGCTACACCTTAAGCCTAGCTGAAACTCAAGCTGATGCCGAATGTGCAGGCTGCTTGTAATATGGTGCCTCACGATGGCAGCACAATGCCAGCACTCCATGAGCAGTCTGCCTGTGGCTTTCTGGGTGGAGCTCCAGGTGTTGTCTTTGACCTACAAAGCCCTAATCAGCTTGGTACCTGCCTTCTTGAAAGACCATCTGTCCCTGTGCCACACGGCCGTGGCTGCAGTCAGATGCCCCTCAGTTCAGAAGAGGGGGGGCTGCTTTCCTGTGGAATGCTTCTCCCATACCCAGAGCTGGCTGACCTGGGTGCGTCACTACACCCATGGGACTGAGCGGCCATTGGGGGAGTGCAAAGGCAGCGGAGGGAGGGATTTTTCTTAGGGGAAAGCTGCAATGGGGGGCGTGGGCATATGGCTGGGGACGGCTGAGATGTTGGCGGGGCAGGCAGTTATGCTACAGCTTTAGACAATGCTGTAGACAATTACTGTGTTTTAAGTGTCCCTCCAGGGTGCCCAGAGCTTTGATGCTGGGCTTCCTCTACACTGAAATCGAAATAAATCATGGCCAGGTTGTGGCACACCTGCTGCTCCTGTGCAGGAGCGCAAGGGAGGGCAAGACAACTCTTTACTCCGCAGCACCAGCTACCCGCATCGTGGGGGAGGAGAACAGCCTCCACAGTGGCACTATTCCCTGTCTCTCCCTGCTTCCCTGTGCCACGAGCAAACCAGCTGCCCCAGACCCAGGGCCTTCACAAACCACCCTCCCTGGAGCAGCGGGAGCCAGGCAGCCGACGGTGACTCTCCAAGCTGTGCTCCTGGGGTGCTGTGACAACACGCAGCCCCGCCCTGGGGCTTGTGGCAAAGCCAGAATTCAGTCCTAGTGGTGTAAATTACAGAGAATTTGCCAAAACTCCAGTTTGAACATAATGCCCACAAGTCACTTGTTTTTCAAAATCAGACAAACAATCTCCCCCTGAAAGGAGAAATAAATCAGTGGTGAAGAAAGACACATAAAACAAGTGCCCCGTCAGATCAGTTGTTGCTAAGCAATATATTCCCAGTCTCCAAGAAAGAGAGAGGTCACTGCTCAGCAATAAACTAAGCCTAGAGGACATAAACTCTTGGGCGATGTAGAGACACTTTATAACGGAGAAACATTTTATAACCAAGCGACTCCTTCCTCTTCTGTCTGATGGGCTAATGAAGATGAATGTGTAGGATGCGATGTTGGCACCCAGCTACGGTCTCAGGTCACCCCAATATCTACAGAGCCTCTTGGAGAACATCCATCGTCATTCCCAGCCTCCCCGTGGGAAAGATGCAGAAAGCTCCTGAAGCCAAAGTGATGATCACATCAACAAACTGTATTATAGAACAAACACACAGCATGAGCGGGATCCCTGGAAGTCCGGGCCTTCTTCATGACCAGAACTAACACATGAGAGTTCACCATAACTGGGGTGCACTATAATTACTCCGCTGCATCATCCTCCAGCATTCATGAACTGAAGGCACTGTTTGTGCAAGACCTCCCTCCCCCATCCACATGTAATGGGGAGAGAGATTAGCAGCCAATGCCCAGTTTGAACATAATCTCCACAATTCCCTTATTTCTCAAAATCAGACGAACAACCCCCCTTACTCTCCTCCCCTTCTCTACAACCTTGCAGAAGACTCCCGTGGCTTCAATGATCCACACAGATCCTTCCTCCACTAGCCCTGCAGAGACTCTCCAGAAAGATTACAGCCTCAGGACACTCTCCACACTTAACTGGATTCCCAGGGTAGCATCTGGCTCTGGAAACCCCATCAATGGAGAGCAGAGAAGGGAGAGTTAGACATAGAGCTAGCCTGGAAGCATGGGGTCTCTAAATGGCTGGGCCTGGCCTCAAGCTAACCCCCAGGGAACCCAAACTAGAGCAAGCACCAGCAAACATGCTCTAGGGAACCATCTCACAGTGACTCCTGGAGCTTGTTCCTGCACCAATATCTACTATCAAGAAGTATCCCTAAAAGTTCTTGGCTATTATGGCTAGTCTGCTCCTTCGGAGGCCCCCAAATAACTGAGGTACTTTACTGCAGAGACGCTGCCATAAACAGCAATGGGTGTCTTTTGCTTAGATCATGCAATGGGATACTATAGGACAAAGACAGCCACCTGCTTGGTCTTGTATACAGCTGTTCATTTAGAACAAGCACAAGTTCACGGTCTGGAAGACTACGTCCAGGAGCGAGCTCTATAGCGCAGAGGATAAGCCACGACTCCTAATCTTAGTTACACATTCCCAGTGCCTGGTGTTCTCGCCCACTCTGACAAGTGAGTGAGCAAAGCAACACACAGAATTGCCATCGCTAATTGACATGAGCCAGGCACAAAGGACCTGGGATGGGGAAAACCCTACAAATGATTCCAAAGATTCAGGCCCCAAGGAATTCTGTTTTAAGCTTACAAGTCCAGTCAATCATAATACTGTGCCAGACATTGTCATTACCAGCCACCAGAGTCAGAGAAAAGAGAGGCACTGAGATTTTATCAAAGACCTAGAGGTGAATTATGACAGCCCAAGACATGGGAGCAGAAATGAAGAATCAAGCAATCATCTGTACCAATCCACATAATACCCTAGAAGTCACCACCAGGATATTTTAACACTTCAGCAAAGAAGAGTTGCACATCGAGATGGCCAGCTACAGAGGAGGACACAAAGGTCTAAGAATACAGGAATGTACATGGGGATGGAGGAACATTTCAGAAACGTAATCCTTCCATTGGCTGCTGTTCTAGAACTACCAAAGAATAACATGGTAGCAGCTCATCTCTGAGTCCTTCACACAATCCTGTCCTTTTCCAGGGCGTTTATGCATATCACACCATTAGTATTACGACTGATTTTAGGTAGATGTGCAGAAGTTTCTGTTTCTTATTTTTCTGTTGAGCTGGATACTCAAGAAATCATGCATATGTACCACACGGACAAATGGACAGACAGATGTGACTGCCAAAATGAGGTGCCCTGCAAGTTACAATCTTCACTCACTAACTCCATCAGCACTGAAATCAGCAAGGCATAAGGTGGCAGGGCTCAGTATGCTTCTTGCTCAGCCATCTGCATGATGTTATATGATATCAGGCTAGCCATTCTTATGATTTATTCAAATGCTCATTACAGTCAATCTATTTTTACACAGAGGTGATGATATTCGCTGATAACGGTTAATCATTTATAATTCCATGGACTAGTTAGATGCCAATGTACTATTAAAGGGAATTCTACCAGGCGCCTTCAGAGATGCAGCAAATTGCCAAAAACTGAGTTTCGAATATACCTTGGGAGGGCTTAAAACTCCACATAAGGAAGTCAATCTTGGCTGACGCCCACCGAACAAACTCAGCCATCTACACTCATCCCATCATGGGAGAGAACGAGCGCTCAGCTAGCCCTTGCAGCAGGAGAGACAAGGCGGCGGCGGCGATTGGCAGCGGCAGTTCAGCGGCAGGTCCTTCGCTCCTAGAGGGAGTGAGGGACCTGCCGCCCCCGAATTGCCGCAGGTGCCGCCCCTCTCCCTTGGCCGCCCCAAGCACCTGCTTGTTAAGCTGGTGCCTGGAGCCGGCCCTGCTCTTTGCTGTTTTACCAACCTCTTCTCCTCTCCATCAGTCACCCATCTCTACTGCACCAAGCCACGCTGGGTGAGGTCCCCATGCCAAGGAATGCCACACAGATGGGTGGGCTTTTATAAGACTGTTTCTTGTGATTCTGACCTGTGGCTGGCAGGGGTGTTTGCCTGCGAGCAGGTGTGGCCAGGAGATGTAACTTTTTCTGTAACCACAGGGGCGGTTGTATATAAACCGTGCAACAAGCAGCCAAGTAAATTATCCACAGGAGGTGGCCTAGTCCCTTCACATACACACAAATGTCGGAACAGGGCAGGCCAGAACCTCTGTTCAGTGAAAATGGCAGGGCCTGGCCCTTCACCTCCACACAGAGAGGAAATCTTTCTGCTACATGTGTCAGGTTCAGACTAGTCAAACTTGTGCCAACCATGTACTGCAGTAGAGTAATTACACACATAGTATATGAAGTCTACCTTAAAGCACAATCAATAAAGACTAATTAAATAGAATGTCATATTACAGGGCTCCTTTGTCACATTCAGACTAATCTAATTAGAATTTCACTGTATTTTAAATCCTGACTAGTTCATTGTTAGATGTTTCATTACACAGTGCAGTGCAGCCAAATATCAAATTTCTGGCTTGATCTTTAACCCATAACCTCAATGAAAGACAGGAGAAAATGCCAATCAAAGTTACTTACAGTTCAGGGACTCTTTCAGTGGATCAATGTGAAGGATAGAGGAGCCTCAGGATCCAACCCCAGACGGTACCTGCTGATATTTTAAAAACGGTTTTTGTTAGAGAGGAAATTACTAGAATGAGAGCAGACGTCAGAGCAAAAATTAACACCCTGGGATGGATCTGTGAGGTGGGATAAACTCAACATGGAGCTCAGTTCCTAGGCTCAAAGTATGCACGTGTTGTGCTGTAAATCAGCTGACCAGGACGCAAGGGCTACAGGGAGCAAACTGCCACATACATCCCAACCACCCCTCCTGCAGGGAGCAAGCTGCGCCCCCAACACACTCTTCTGGGTAGCGCTATAATTGTGCCCTTAAAGTAGAAATGGGTGAAAGTAAGAATTTCTTAATTAAATTAGGGCAATGTTGCCGTCCTGACAATTTCTGTGCATTTTGGAGGCTAAAAACACCCTGTGTTAAAAGAATATTATTCAAGTTGCAAAATCAAAAACTCAAAAGTTAGGAAATGCAAGAACTAAGGTTGCCCAGACAACGCTAATTTGCCCCCCTCATGTATATGCATTAATTATGTTAGTTACGTGATCACATACTAGTTCTTCCACAGGACTTCTCATTTAGTGCACAGGCCTATTTGGTCCCCATGTACATGATGGATCCTTGAAAGGGGTCCATCTAGTAAACTAGAAAGGGTCTCCCCCTCTTCAGACAGGAATGACCAGGAAAAACCACAGGGATCAACAGATTCCAGAGGACAACAAATGAAAGAACAGAACAGGAGTGAGGTCATAGGTTTACAATCAGGATTCCAGAAGGAGACACCAAGCAGAGAACCCCAGACATCCCCTGCTCCTTAATTTGTGCAACTCCATAAAGCGCACGTTGCTGGGTCTAATCTGGAGATGCCAAAGGCCTGGATCATTGGAGCGAGGCCCTCACACCTTTCCTGACAAGGGCAAATGAAAGACACTACTGGTCACCACTGCTACCTGAGCAACTAGGAACAACTGAGGACCCAATATTGCTCCCGCAATTGCAACCCCCTAAAACAAGTGATGGGCAACACCTCAGTTGAGGAGACTCCCCTAATCTCCACCATTTCTTACACTTTCTTCCCCAATCATCATGCATTCTCTTGGTCTTCACTGGCTCAAACCTCAGCCATGTAGCCCTCCTACAACCCCCAGATGCTCAACTACCTGGTTAGGTCAGAGAGAAGAGACATAGTGCTGAGTGTCACCAGCATTTTTCGCTCTTCCTCCAAGGCCAGCTGGTGGGAATCCTGGAGTACGAGGCTACACACAGGGAAACCATTCCCAACAACATTCTTTTAAAACTCTTCAAACCCTTCCAGAGTAGCTCTTGGTAATGCAAGGTGTGCTCTGCAAAGAATTCTGCTGGGGCTGGGAGGGACAAAGGTTTCCTTGGGGTATTTGTGATGCTTTGCAAATAGGAAACACTATCCAACTGAATTTATCTGCCACATAGGCACCTTGATGCACAATTCAAGATGAAGAGAGGCTATGAAGCACAGAGATAGTTCATCAGCTAATCATCCTCAGAAATTAGCCACTGAAATAAATGTAAGTATCTTCTTGATGGAGGAAGCCTGTACACATGTAGGGTTGCCAAGGACTTTCTAATTGCACAAAACTAAACACCCTTGCCCTGCCCCTGCCCCACCCCTTCCTTGAGGTCACACCCTTTCTCTGAGGCCCTGCCTCCACTCACTCCAGCCCCCCTCCCTCTGGCACTCACTCTCCCCCACCCTCACTCACTTTGACTGGGCTGGGGCAGGGGTAGGGTGACCAGATATCCTGATTTTATGGGGATAGTCCCTCTTTTGGGGTCTTTTTCTTATATAGGCTCCTATTACCCCCCACCCCCTGTCCCGATTTTTCACATTTGCTGTCTGGTCACCCTAGGCAGGGGGTTGGGGTGCGGAAAGGGAGGGGGCTCAGGGTCGGGGTTGGGGTGCGAAAGGGGGTGTGGGTGCAGGCTCTGTGAGGGAGTTTGGGTGCGGGAGGGGGTTCTGACCTGGGGCAGGAGGTTGGAGTGTGAGTGTGGGGTCTTGGAGGGAGTTAGGGTGCGGGAGGGGGTTCTGACCTGGGACAGGAGGTCAGGGTGTGGGTGGGGAGTCTGGGCGGGAGTTAGGGTGTGGAAGGGGGTTCCAATCTGGGACAGGAGGTTCAGGGTGTGGGCTCCAGCCGGGCGGCGCTTACATCAGGCGGCTCCTGGTTGGTGGTGCAGCGGGGCTAAGGCAGCCTCTCTGCTTGCCCTGGTGCTGCGCAGCTCTCGGAAGCAGCCGGCATGTCCAGCCCCTAGGCGGAGACATGGCCAGGTGGCTCTGCTCAGTGCACACTGCCCATGTTCGCAGGCGCCGCCCCCACAGATCCCATTGGCTGGGTTCTCACACAATGAGAGCTGCGGAGCCAGCGCTGGGGGCAGCATGCAGAGCTTCCCTGATCGCCCTTGCGCCTAAGGGCCAGACATGCCGGCCGCTTCTGGGGAGCTGCATGGAGCCAGGGCAGGCAGGGAGCCTGCCTTAGCCCTGCTGCACCGCCAACCGGACTTTTAACAGCTGGTCAAAAACAGACGCCTGGCAACTCTATACACATGGCACAAGAGACACCAAACAGAAGAGACACATGGCTCCTCTCCCTTTAACCTCTGAGCATTGGAAGGATTAAACAGGAAGAAATGAGGGAAGAATATCCTTTTGTAGTTTATTTCTTCCTGTTGTCCCAAACTCCCTTTGGAAGCTACACTTACGGTACATCGGCACTGCTGTGATTGATGCAGCCGTGTCAATTTAGGGGGCCGCTAAATCAATCGCAGAGTGCTCTCCCGGCGACTCCAGTACTCCACCTCCCCGAGAAGAGTAAGGGAAGTCAGCGAGAGAGCGTCTCCCGTCGCCCCAGCGTGGTAAGTCGACCTAAGCTACGTTGACGTTATTCACGTAACTGGAGCAGCGTAACTTAGGTCGACTTATCATGGTAGTGTAGATCAGCCTCTGTCTCAACTGGCTGCAACTATGTAACCTCCCAAATGCTAAGTGGAGCCTCCTCTTTGCTGTTCGTACTGCACATGAGAGATGAGAGCTCCTTAACATTGCTGCCAAATCACATTGCACAAATTCAGGGAGCTTCAGAACCACGTGAGGGAAGAATGTCCTTGGGTCAGGAAGAACAAGTCAATGAAGGTCTTTGCCCTTTTCTCTTTACAGGAGCACAGGCCTGTGGAGCTGTGCAACTCCCCAGGACTGACACAGTAGACTGCGTCACATTCTCCTTTGTAGGAACACGTTGCTGGCTATTTCGCGGCCAGGACAGAGCCCACTACCACCTCCGCCAGCTGCTACTGTTACCTGAGTAGCAGCAGCTGAGGTCTCCAGAGGGCAGCTGCTTCCAGAGTCAGACAGCAGAGCTTTGTGCAAAGGGAACCCAGAAGGGGCCTTTCTTCTTATTCAGCTTTGCAAAAAATAATAAATAAAAATATACCCTCACTAAGCCTAGCAACGTTCCAGAATAGAGACAGGGAGCTGACTCACATCCCCCTTTGGAGAGAGCCCACCTTTTATTCCCGGTGTTTCCCTTTGGAAACACAGAGAACGTTGCTAGTTTTCCCTTAGTGCAGCTTCACTGGCTAAATCGCAGGACTCCTGATTTGCTCCAGCATCTGTGATAGGAGATTCAGGTTCAGTTTCAAATGCCAGAACACAACAGGAATAGAATAGCTCTTTAAACATAGAATGTAGTGTAACAAAGGGCCCTGCGGATTCCTTACTTACCCTCTCTGTGGCTAGGAGAAAGACACATGAAGGAGCACATAGCCACATCTTTCCATCTCTTTGCAGGTTGTGCAAAATTACAACATTTCGATCAATTCTACGTTCTAGCTGCAAATAGAGAGGCTTTCAGACAAAGGTAAATAATATGCAAGACGCAATGTGCTATTTCAGAGTCCCATAACATAGGCGAATTGGCCAGTGTGAGGCTGTTCACATCAGCTCTAGACAAAGAAGCTGAATGAGGTCTCAGAAATGGAGATATATGGAGAGAGGGAATGTGGCCAAACTTTACTCTTTGTCCCCAGTTTAATAAGCCGTTAGTGAAATTACCAGTTACGGGAAAGCACTCCATTATTTTCTCATTTATTCATGGCACTTTGTCCCATAGAGGGATGCAAAATGACAAGGAAGCAGCACTACCTGAAAAGGGCAAAAAGCTCTGCAAAGGTACCAGAAGTTTAGCTGCTCCCCAAGACCCTTGTAAAAGGCAAGAATCCCCCAACTCCAGCTCCAACACACTATTCCATACTTTTAGGGCAAGTAGGTCACTGTCATGAGACACTGAGTGTCCTCTGTATGCACAGTAACAGTGTGACCACCACACTGAGCAGAAGTCTTCACTGAGCTGCTAACAGTGACACTCAGGTCTGTGTAGTAATGCTTAGTTTAGAACCCAGCAACTTGTATGACCGGTTTGGATTATTCCTTCCCATTTGCATTACTTTGCTTTTGCCAACAACTCATTTCCTCTGTCTTCTGGCTGCCCATGCATCTAACTTGGGCCTTTACCCAGCAAGGCACACGCATAACTTTCAGCCCCTCTGGAGTTACACTGACCTCAGTGGAATTACTCATGGGCATAAATTCACACACATGCTTATGTGCTTTGCTAGAGTAGGGCCTTGGTCAGGCCCAGCCTTCTCCATTCTTGACTAATCTAAATAATTTTGTGTCACCTGCAGATTTTGCCATCTCATTTGTTCAGTTTCTTTTTCAGACCATGATACAAATATTAAACCAAACTGATGTGAGACCAGCACCCTAGGGCACCCATCTTTAACTTTGTATTACGTTGGAAATTGTCCATTTAGTCCTGCTCTTTTTCTTTCTCAGATCCAGTTTCTAATCCATGGTTGTACTTTAGCTCTCATCCCATGATTAGTTACCTAATTTTAGTAGCTTCTTGGAGGGGCCATTGAAAGCAGACATAAATGACATTAAATGGTTCTCCTTTAGCCATTATTTTGTTGACATGCTCAATAATTCAACTAGATTAAAGCATAAT